CTGGCAATAAAAAAACAAAACAACCCCGCCCAAACCCCAAAACAAAACAAAACAAAACAAAAACTTTAACGGTTCCTTTGTTTTCTAAGCTTCTTATCTGAAGTCTTCTTACTCTGATACTGGCCCTTTTCTCTATGTCATTATGCTGCAGTTGATAAGTTTTCCAGGGTTTTCGGCAGTTGCCTCAGTGGCTCAGAAAACCATATGGATAACATGGGAAATGCCTAAGGGTTATTTATGGTCTTTTCTCCCCACTTTTAAGGACATGTGCCCCTTTGCTGATGTGGCGCCATCTGCTGGATGGAGTGTGCATGTACACGTGACGAAAGGAAATGATTGACACCATTGTTTTGTGGCGCCATCTGCTGGAAAGAGTGTGCACTACCTGCAGTACTTAACCATTATTATAGAATACGAGAGAGGTTGAAACACAGTCCCTAGAAATTTCCGCAAAGACTCCAGGAAGCTCTGCACAGACATGAAACCATTGTGAGTTGCACTGGAAAAGTGCAGAGAAAGAGGAATCGTGACATTCTGGGCGTTCCCTCTCTTTGTCACCTGTCCCCAGCTTTGTGAGCTGTCCCCTCTGCTAGGGTGGGCATTGGTGATGCAGCCTTTGGGCCATTTCCGTTCCTGTAAGCAGCCCCTCACCCATACTACCGTAGTAACCCCAGTTAAACTTATTGGTACACCAAGGCGAACTTTGGTGGTGTCTGAACTTTGGTGGTGTCTGAACTTTGGTTTGTCCTGGGTTCCCTATCTGGGGAGAGTATGTGTTGCTATTCTGCTGTCACACAACAGAAGCCTCTAAGATTTTAAGCTCTGACAATTCATAGACCATGAGCCCTTCTGGTTACGCTGAGCCCACTGAGGAGAGGTCTTGGGTAACTGGGAAATTTTATAGTCATTCTCTCCCTTTTACAAACATGTGGTCATTTACTTGGGTGCTGTAAGCTGTCGATTAATATTTGCTATTAATTATCTTCTGGTAACGCTGCTGTTAGTCCTAAACAGCTGTATAACCAAATCACCACACAGAGACTGGGTTTATTTAGTTAACCTAGAACACAATGCTGGACAATAGTTACTCCATTCTAAATCTCAAAGCTCTCATAGTTTCCTAACATTTAGATTTTTACCCATTATACTTGCTTTTTGTGAAATATTATGTCCAGTCCATCTCCATGTAGTTCCAAGATCTCTCCTCCAGCTCTCCCTCTAAGATCTCCTCTTGCCCTTTCCTGCCCTCTAGCTCCTCCCCTCTTTCCTGTCCTCTGGCTCCTCCCAGCTGAACACTGTGTCTAGTTGCTTTATTTTGGCCTGTTTACACACAATTGAGACAGGATGCTTAGAATGAGTATCACAATGCAATATTCGGATTGAAACCAGAGAGTGGGGTAGGGGGAGGAGAAATCAGCATTTGAATGAACAAGGGTAAGGTGTATACATTCCAAAAGAACATTATACCAACACTTGGGTGACTTGTACATTTGACCGAAGAAAAGAATGGGACTTTGGGGTTACTGGACACTGACCAAAGTTATAAGGCCATCAGGAGATTGGAACCCACATCAGGAACCTACATTGTTCCACCCACCAGAATAACTGCTCCTGGTGACAACCACGGTGTTTGGGCTTTGATGCTTCCTTGATAGCCTGTCCAATAGGATCCCTAACCCCATGTTATGGCTAATTCCCAGGGTCAGGATACATAATAGGAACAGACATACCCAGCAACTGGCTGAGCCACTGACTTGACTTCTGATCCCTGAGTGGAAAGCTACCACATGAGAAAGACCAGGAAGAAGCCTTCAGAACTGCCCCTACCAAGAGAACAAATCAAGAGCAACATCACAGTGTTGGAGGATCGTAGAGGCTGTTATGACCATCAAGGACTTCAAATAAGCCAGGGTGGTGATTTATGGAAAATTCTCATCACTACAGCATCCTACCAAACAAGGACCAGGGAAAATCACAGAAAAGAGAGTGGGAAGGAACGGGAAAGAGTGTGATAAAACTGCCACCAGATAGACACTGCACCAGAGCCATGAGCACACAGTAATGGGGGATGCCTGCACAGGGACAGTGGAGGAGCCCACGAGCTCCACCCCTTCTTGAGGAGCATTAGCTTTTGATGGAGGGGTGTCGCCTTCTCTCATGGTGTAGCCACTGGCAGGCTAAGTGGGAAAGTGAAGGGTTCAGAAGGAAAGGAAGGGGGTACCAGGGAGTAATGGGTGTGTGAAATATAACCACAATACAGGGCATTGCATAAATGTACAGATCTGTCGAGAATGAGAATTTTTTTCCCATATAGTTTGAGAGCAGAGCCCGTCAGGTGGGGAAGAAGGGCTCTGTCTGTGTCAGTAGTTGCTGAGGCAGCGGTCACATCCATAGTCAGGAAGCAGGCATGTGAGTCTTTGTGCTCAGCTCACTTTCCCCTTCTCAGCACCAGCTCAGAGCACAATGCTCCCCTTGTTCACTGCGGATGCTTCCTCCTCCTCAGTTAAACCTCTTCAGAAACACTCCCATAGGCCAGTCCCTGAGTAATCTGTATCTCATGGTTCAGGACTGTCGTGGTGTGAATATGTCTAATACCCATAGACTCGTGTTTGAATGGATGACCCATAGGGACTGGCACTGTTAGGAGGTGTGGCCTTTTAGGAGGAAGTGTGTCACTGTGACCTCACAGGCGTTGAGGTCTCCTATGCTCAAGCTATGCCCAGTGTGGAACACCGTCTCCTGCTGCTGCCTGCAGATCAAGATGTGGAACTCTTGTTTCTTGTCCAGTACCCATGTCTGCCTGCACACTGCCATGCTTCCTTCCAGGATGGTATCAGACTAAAATCTCCGAAACTGTAAGCCAGCCCCAATTAAATATTTTCTCTTAAGAGTTGCCTTGGTCATGATGTCTCTTCACAGCAGTAGAAACCCCAACTAAGACAAAGATCTTCAACAGGGGAAGCTCTTCTTTGAAGATAATTTCACTATCATACAGTCTAAGATAATCAGCCAATACACCTTTAGAGCTTGTAAGAAATGATGAAAAGTGATGAAAAAAAGTATTCCGTTAGAAGGGGAATGGCATACAAGGGAGAGAACAAAGGGAGGACCTCCCTCAAGGCTACTACTACTATGTCAGCCCTAGAATTCAAAGACCAGCACTGCTAAGAGTAGCCGAAAGGGGACTGTGAATCAGCCGCCCTCCCATTAGTGCGGCTTCCGGTCCTCAGTTTACCTCTGTGAGATATCACGTTAACTGGGCTTGGCATGTCGTTCAAGAATATAGTTGTTAGGGATTGGTCTGGTGCTCCGTGTATACCAATGCTGAATTCTGGTTCCTGTTTGGACGAGTGCATTGTCGCATACTCTGGTCAACGTTGTGTAAACTTTGCTCCCCGATTATCACTGACTGGTTAATAAAAAAGCTGGACGGCCTGCGGCTGAGCAGAAGACAGGTAGGCGGGGCTTCCGTTCCTGGGCTTGGGATCGCAGGTAGGTACCGTGCAAGGGGGGCGGGGTGTAAGGAAGAAAAAAGAGACAGTAGAAGGAAGCCACCAAGGAGGAAGATGGACCATGAGGACACGGCCAAGAGAATTCCACCCTGAGAGAAAAACCCGTTTCCTTTAAATGTATTTCTTTATTTGGCATACCTGATGTGAGGCAAGAATTCACATAAAATTCAAATTTAGATTAGAAAAATCCGGGATGAAAGGTGCACTGTCTCTTTAAGAAAACAGACAAACAGACAAAAAATCGCCAAACAAACCCGGCATACAGAAAGGTGGGGAACAGAAGCCCAGCGCGGTCACAGGCACCGGGTGCCTGCATTCCCGTGGCCGCTGAGAGCTGCCAGCAGTGCCTAGGCAGGCTCACACGGTTGCCAGGCAGACCCGGGGGCTCTCCCGAGACTGCCACGGCGGCCTGGAGGGTCCTGCTGGGGCTAACAGAGAAGAAGGAACGGCGTGGCCTATGCAGTTCCGGAGTATTAGAAGCAAGAATAGCATAGCAGGTAGTCTAAGTAGCTACAAGCAAAGAAAGGGCTCCTTCGAGAACCCCTGCTTTGCAATAGGATAGCCAGAAACGCCAGGGGATGGGGTTGCGCATTTCCTCCAGCGGAGGGCTACGGAAGGCTAGCAGCCAGGGGCAGAGCTCTGGGTTAAAGGCTGGGGAAGGAAGGGGAGCAGCCTTACCAGGCCACAGAAGATGACAGTGCAGCCACTCCGGATGTGATCTGATAGACTAAGATCGACAGGAGGAAGGAGAGGAGGACCTCCCCTATCAGTGGACTTGGGGAGGGGCCTGCGTGAAGAAGGGAGAGGGAGGGTGGGACGGGGAGGGGAGGAGGAAGGGGCTTATGTGTGTGTGTGGGGGGGAATACAAAGTGAATAAAGTGTAATTAAAAAAACAAAAAACAAAAAAACCCCTCCAGCCCCAGCCTGCTACTGCAGCCTCACCATCTTCACAGGCTGGCCAGAGGCCAGAGGCGCTGGCCCAGCCCAGCACGGAAGGACACATGTGCCCGAGATTATCGCGGGGCGGTGTCCCCAGATGACAGCCCACAGCTGTTCAGAGGCGGGACAGCGAAACAGCTTAAGGTTCCCACGGGCAATGAGGTGTGGGTGACACTCTCCTCTGAGCTACTGCCCAGAGAATGGACGGGTAGGCACGGTGCCAGGAGGTACCGGTGAACGCGAGGCTCTCACAGAAAGACTTCTGGTGGCTCCGCTTAGCGCGGCAGGGCACAAAGGCCCAGGATGGGTGGTCTATAGGCCAACCAAGGGGTAGGTCCCAAAGCACAGAACCTGAGGTGCCTGTGAGCCAATGGCAGAACGGCCCATTCCATGTGGATGAAAAGGCTAGGCAAGGCTAGCCGCAGCGTGGGATGCAAAAAAAAAAAGGGGGGGGAGGGCGCGGAGGGAGAGAATTAGCAAGATTTTTTTTTTTTTTTTTTTTTTAAAAAAGATTGAAAAACACTTTAGCAGAAGGAGCTTGGACCTGTATAGTTTTGTTTAGTTGTGTCGTCATGGAGCAATGTGCTCAATAATGGCTGCTGATTTATACATCCGCTTTAAGAAAGATCAAAGTAAAGCAGACCTAAATAAGAAAAAGACTGCTAAAGTTAATCGACATATATCGTCTTAACTTCAGAATGGAAGACAGGAAATGCATTATGTTGGTGAAGAGGTTTTGTATCTGTATCAACAGGAAAAAAAAACCAAAAACAAAAAGAAACAACTTTGGATTTCTACAAAATTAATAAAGATTGGATTTGACCAGGGGAGAACCCCTGAAAATCTTGGCTACAGACAGGAAGAAATCAAGATCAACAAACCAGATAACATATATCGCTGATCTCTCTACATGGGAACAGCTCTGAGACTAGCTGAGATATGGGGGAAAATCTCTATATAGCCAATAAATCTTTTTGGCTACATAGACCTCAGGCCTTATCATGTCATCCCTTCATGTGGCATAGATTAAAAACTGGTATTACAGTTGGACATACAGCCCTGACTGACTTATAAAGAAAGACAGATGCCTTTCACCTGCTCAAACAAAAAGCAGAAAATCATTGTCAGCTAAATCTCACACACGGAACATTCCATACATGTGTTTATACAAAAATGTATATTACCTGTAAAAGTGTATGTTCACAGGACAAAAGGACCAGATGCCAATGAGGTTAAAGCAGTCCTGGAGGATGCTGAAATTGATGCTGACACTCCGAGACATGTTTGTTCCAGCATCCTGCTTGATTTGGCGTCAGACCGCCTTCATAACTGATCAAAACTTGCTCCAATCAAAGCTTCAAAGCTGCTGACCCCAGCTGGTCTAGTCTCAAAGACTGTTACAGCGAGACTAGACATACCAGTTTTCTTAGGGCACCCAAAAGACACCTCTCCCTCCAGGCAGCATGACACCCTCGTTCCCGAGAGGTGGGGTAGGTGGTTTTTAGTAGTTTGATGAGTCACGGATGTTTGTTGCCATTTAGAGGTGTTGGTTACAAGTTGTGACTAGTCCTGGTCAGAGAAAAAAACAAAGTAAAGAAGGTTAAGATTCAGATCCCTCTGTCTTTCCTCTATCCTTATTTCTCTTCTATGTAGTGGTAGGGGAAGGGGTAGGAGAGAGAATGAAAAGAAAAAAGGGGGGCATAAGAATAATAGGAAAAAGGGTAGATTATTGAATTTACTCTTAAACGAAAGAACCTTCTATAAGCCAAAAATTTTACGTTGGTATAAATCTTTGCAGACTGATACTAAATTTAGGTTATATTTTGGTTACAACATACCATGTATCAACATGTATCAACTCTTTTAAGGTGTATACCCTATGCAATTCATTTATAAATGCAAAATGAAGTTCTTGTCCTTTTTGTAAGCTGCTATTACAAACTGTTTAGGATAATTAAGAAACTGAAGTTACCAAGCAAACAATCAAACTCCTGGTCATGCTAGACACTAGTCTAGATCAGTACAAAATTATGTTTTCTAGGTTGAATAGAAAGCAAATAGCTAGAAATGAGCGATGTTTGTCTATTCAGATATACAATAGATGAGTAGATGGTCTTAAAAAACCTCAGAGATACACAGAATATGGCATTTAAAGATATTTTATTAATAAAAGGAGCTTTTGACAGTGAAACATGTCCGCTCCTGGAAGCATTTCCAGCCTACTTCATAGAAGATGACAGGCATTGAAGAACCTCCATGTGAAATTTGCTTCAAACGTGACAAGCTAGCCCCTGGGCAAGAAACTGTCCTTGATTCAACTGCTGACAGAATGCTGTCCAAAATGGACACAGATGCAGGGAACTCAACTGCTGAGCTTTGCAAAGGCAGAGTAAGCAGTCCTTCATAATTCCTGCTTCACACACATAAGTCTGTCAGATATTCTGGGCCAGAAGGCTGAAGATGGATCCTCTACCATAAAGAGGAAGTTTGGGGGAACTGTCTAGGCAGTCAGCTATCTCTGACCTTTCTATAGTTTTGGAAGCTGCTTGCCTACTCAGATAATACTTATTTCTTCTCAAGTCTCTCATGGAGTTGAAGACTAGACAGTTACAGTCCTACAATTAAGCTAAAGTTGTTTAGAAAAATGTTTTAAAAATATATTTTAGGTCTAAATAAATTTTCAGGTTAATAAATGCAAGTTATGCTAAAAAAAAAAATCTAAACTCACCAAGTTAGAAGAGATAGTAGAGTACTTCACCTAAACTGCCATACACAAATGGAGTGGGCATCGTGAATGTAATTCTTACAGGATAGTCTTCATAATTGTTTCCCAGCTGTTCTTACTGTGTGTAGTTTAAAACTGCAAGAGAAAGAGCCCCTTTAATTGGACAAAAAGAGGAAAACATTGAGTGTTGGTCTGGTGCTCTATGTATACAAATCCTGAATTCAGGTTGCAGTCCAGATGAGTGCGTGGGCACGGACTCTGATCAATGCTGTGTAAACTTTCCTCCCCAATTATCTCTGATTGGTTAATAAAAAAAAAAAAAAAAAGCTGGACAGCCTGCAGCTGAGCAGAAGAGAGGTAGGCGGAGCTTCCATTTCCAGGCTCGGGCCTTCAAGCAGAGGACTATGAGAGGGGAGAAGACAGAAAGAAAGAAGAGGAAGAACAAGGCAGTCACCATGGAGCAAGATGGACCGTGAACATATGTCCAAGAGACAGCAGACAACACAAACAAATGTTACCTATGGAGGAGATGGCTCTGTGGTCAGAGCACGTACCGTTCTTCCAGAGTTCAGTTTCCAGCAACAAAATGGAGTCCCTCCCAGCTACCAGCAACTGCAGCTCCAGGGGTTCTGATGCCCTCTTCTGGCCTCCATGGGTACTGCGCCTCATGCGTACCCCTCCCACCTTCCCACCGGAAAATCTTAGAAGTTGTTGCCTGTGGAGGCAGTTTGTTTCTGGTTGATTTTCCCCAGGCCAACCCATCATTTACAATTCATCACCTGCTTAGCGCATCCCACAAAGCAGAACTGCAAAATCAAGACGCAACGTAAAACAGAATTTCCAAATGGAAGAAAAAAAAGTTGTTCGACCTCAGTTGTAACAAAACAAGTGCATGTAATTCAAACTGTAAAAATATACCTCTCTCCACTCGATCAACGTTTATGAAAAGGCAAATCATCAAACTTGGCAAATGTGTGGAGCCATGGGAAGTCTACACTGCTCCTGTGAAGGTGGATTAAAAACAAACACCTTAGAAATGTATTTAGCATCACGTGTTATAATTGAGCAAACTGAGGCCATAAAATGCATATATATATAATCAAAAGAAAGTATTATATACATATCTCCAAGGAACTGAACAAGAACACCGACAGAAGCAGTATTTAAAATATTAAACCCCAGAAATGAATCCACGTGTCTGTCCGTCTTCCCCATTCACACAAGAAAATACTATGCAACAAGGTACAGTATTATGATCACACAGGATGTGTGTGTGTGGTATGTTAGACGCGCAACATTTAATTACCATGGTAATCTGTCACGGCCACATTTGTGTTTGATACCAAGCAACATATAAGTTCATTGTGTCCGTTGCTTTTGACGGACTGAAATGTAGGTTACACTTTGACACACATCAATGTTCTTTGCTGCCGTACAGCGTGCAAGGAAATACCACAAGGTAACTGCAGCTGGTCACGCTGGACACCATGCCGAGCACACATGCAGGCTGGAATGGTCTCGCTGCAGGGAAGGGCACCGGGATACCTGCTGCGTGGCTTCAGGCGTCTGGAACGCACATAAGTAAAAATACAATCCTGAGAATTAAAGAGAAACAATAGACCACTGATACCCGTTTACATATGTGTATGAGGTGCGTGTAATGAAATCTGCCCTGGCTAAGGAAGGCTAATTAACACAACCACCACTTCAAGGCCTTTTCTTCTAAAGGCGAAAACATTTGAAGTTTGTCCTCCTAGCAAACATGGAACGTACATGCCATGTGATCCGTCGTCACCAACAAACTTCCAACTTTATTTTGCCTATGTGAGTGTGTGAGCATGTGCGTGTGTGGGGGCTAGAAGACAATTTTCTTTTTTTTTTTTTACTTGCCAATTATTTATTGTTCATTTTGTTGATCTATATAAAACATGATTTGTGCTTATGTATTTGTGTCTTTAATGAATTACTTTCTTCACAGTAATTGTATATATAATTATATATATATATATATATGCAATTTTTGAAGGCTTGTACTAATATTTTCCTTTTTTTTGATTATTGCAATTTATTCACTTTGTATCCGAGCTGTAGCCCCCCTCTGTAATCCCCTCCCAATCCTGCCCTCCCTCACTGCTAGGGGAGGACCTCCTCCCCTTCCTTCTGACCCTAGCCTGTCCGGTCTCATCAGGACGGCTGCATTGTTAGAAGACACAATCACCAGGAGCTGATGTTCCTCTACCACCATAGGGCTCTATTCCCATGCAGTGTTTCTTCCAGTAAATAGGTCTGGGGGATTGAACTCAGATCATTACACTTGCTAGCAGTCACTCATACCTGCTGAGCCATGTCTGTAGCCCATCACCAACAGTTTGTTTTGTTTTATTTATTTATTTTTTTTTATGGTACAAAGAAATTTATTGAGCCATGAGGGCAGAGAGAGAGTCAGAGACACAGAGAGAGAGAGACAGAGAGAGTGGCAACGGGAGAGCGTAGAAGAGAGAGAGAGGAGAATACAGAGTGGGGAGAGAGAGAGAGACAGAATCAGAGGGACAAGCAGAGAGAAGAGGGAGGGAGAATCACCAGCAAATCTTGTTTCATAGAGAAACCCACTTAAGATAAGGTGCAGTGGCTCTATTTCACCAGTAGGGGGCACTGCAGTTCCCACACAAGAGATGATACACCAGAGGTGTTCTGAAAGCAAACTCATTTTTACTCTTTGTAATTTGACGCTAGAAAGTTCATTTGTGCCTTAAATAATAAAATTATCACATTTTATGTGTCTGTATTTGTGTTGGTTTAAATTAAAGGTTTTCTTCTGACTGACAACATTTGAAGTTACAAAGAAGCAGAAAATTATCACTTGGGGGAAAATGCAGTGTTTTGTCTCTTGGCTAAAAATCAAGATATTTAGAACATGTAACATTGAACTAGAGGCCTAATATTTCATATATACCCATGTTCTTCGTTATCCTCTTGCAAAACACTTTGTTTATTACGGTTGTATGACGTTTGTGCGTGAGCACACGCTTGCCATGGTGTATGGAGCCATCTTGCTAGCCCTCCTTATCGTATTTTAACGCCAGGGCGGCCTTTCCTCACATAGCAGAGTCACGTTCATTTAACTGAGTGAGTACTTTTGGCCAAGTAAGCGCGGTTCGATTCTTACTGATAGAAACTGTCCTTGTGTGTCAAAAATTATTTTAAAAAAATTTTTTTTCTTTCTCTCTCCAAAGAATTCACGTCACAGAAAATATATTAATCGTCCTATGGTTTTCGGTAGTTTGCTTCCAAAAATTAAAGCTCAGCTAAGTCACAATGCCTCTGTCTGTCTTTCTGGCTGCACACTTTTCAATACAATTTCCTTAGAAACGTGTGTTCATTTTAATTTCAGTTATGGAAATAGTCTCACAATGGAATTTGAGTATCAGTTTATAAAAAGGTCTTTAGGATATTGATATTGTGATTTTTTTTTTTTTTTCGCTTGTGGAGGTCGGAGGAGCCAGTTCTCTCCTTCGGCCTTGGCTTCCGGGGACTGACATCAGATGTTCAGTCTTGCTAAGGATGGAGGCACCGCAGAGATCCTTTGAATCACTAAATATTAACGTTTCAGTAGCGCTTTTCCCCTTCGGTGAAAGTCCCTGTCTACCTTTTATCCCTAGGTGGTGTGGAGTAATCAGGCCGCATATTTCCCTTTGAGAATGAAGAAACTAAAATTATTCTGGAAAAAATCAAAATAAGACACAGAAAAACGGTAAACATCTATTTAGCCGGTGCTGTAAAGGTGTTAGCTGATTTGTTTGCTAAAGCTGACAGCAACATTCAGTAACAAGGTCATCTTTAACTGCCAACACAGCTGGAGCAGCAGTCAGCAGCATCAGATTTCCCTAATGACCCACAATGCTCTCTGATCAAGATCAGGTGTTTCTGGGTTGCTCTTTACCAAGAATGCCTTACAATTATTATTTATTATAATTTATTCACTTTGTGTCCCTGCTGTAGCCCCCCCCATCTCCTCCCCATCTCAGGTCCTACCCTCCCTCCCTCTTCCCCCACCATGTCCCTCCCCTAGTCCACTGATAGGGGAGGTCCTCCTCCCCTTCTATCTAACCCTAGCCTATCAGGTCTCATCAGGACTGTCTGGATCCTCTTTCTCTGTGGCCTAGTGAGGCCGCCTCCCCAGGGGGAGGTGATCAAAGAGCAGAGACAGACCCTGCTCTCTTTACTAGGGAACCCACATGTAGACTGAGCAGTCCATGGGCTACATCTGAGCAGGGGGTCTAGGTCCTCTCCAAAATGTGATTCCTGTTTACATTTAATTCACTTTTGCACAAGTGACCCACAAGGCCAATTCCAGCTTCACAAGAAAACAAAGAGCTGCAACAACTTCAGCAGGACAATGTGTTTTTTGCTCTGGAATATTTCATTACCTGGACCCAGTCCTACCCTGGCGTTCAGCTGAGGAAGGCTACAGACTAATGCTCAGGAGCCAGACTAGGTCTAACTAGAAATTCAGCAACAAATACCTCCTTGTGCTATTTGAATGCTAGGGTATTAGTGGCAAAAGGCTTAGGCCTTTGCTCCTCTGGTGAGGGAATGAGCCTGATGACGCTGTTACTGTTTACCTGTCCAGCCAGCGTGGCAGTTTAGAAGGATTAAGCAGTCTCTGCGGCTGACCACATGCGGATGAAATGGTTGTCTATGCTGATCTGTATGCTATGCACATTTTCACAGTGACTGAATCACTGTGAAAACAGAGAAGACAAAATGGATCACCGCTTTATTTTACGAAGATGATAAAGCAGCTCCATTAAATTATTACAGTTCTGTTTTAAATGGTATTACCTGCCACACCGTTTCCCTTTATCTGGTGGCTCTCTGATTTCCTCTTAAATGTGTTTTTCTCTGTTTCAAACATTTAATGCATTTTAGTATTAAAGGCTCTTATGGAAAAAGCATTGAGTTTTTGGTGGGAAAAAAAAGATGCAGAAAACCGATATCTGTCTTTAGCATGTATTCTTGCAGTCACTTAAGTGCGTATGGCTTACAGATTTATTTAAAATTAGCTAAAAGTTTGACTATGGTGAAAAAAAGGGTTCCAATGGCACCCTAAACTTTCCTGTCACAGCCTCCATCACACAACCTGTATTTATTTTATTGCCTGTTTCCATTATGGATATAAACTCTACACACTTGCAGGCTACATTTGTTGGATATTTTCTCTACTACTACCTACTTGTTAAATGAACCTTTAAAACTCATTAGAAAACAACCCTAAGGATGCCATGGAGAAATGGACATGCTCGGAATAAACGTTACTTCACACAATACTAAAAGCTTGCTGACACAGTGTTTCACGTGTAAAATGATTAGTATTCATATATCACCTGACTGCTGTGAACTTGGTGCTTTTATAAGGTCATTTTTTGCACACTAAGTTTCTAACTAGTTTCAGCTCAATCTCTAATTAATTCTGAAATAGCTAGCTAGCCAGTGGATGGCAGAAATAGGACCTGGGTCAGCTGACTCTCATCCTGTGGCTCTCAACAGCAATATTTCCACTTCCACGTCCATGCCATGCAAATCACAAGGCTGTGTTTTCAACATGACTCAGGACCAGGCTGCGATTATTAATGACAGGACATTCAAGTGCGGAGGCCACCTGCTTCATTTTGTAGCTATGGAACTGAGGCTCTCAGTGGCCAATAACCTTTATGGCATTTTTCGTTCAGAAGAACTCTAAACCCACATTTCCTATGTCACAGGGCTGACCACAGTTTAAAGATTCTGAATAGGTCATTCATATTCAGACATCACAAAAAGACGGTATTACAGCATTCATTCATAAAAAAGTTCTGGGTGCGATAAGAGGTTTTCCTGGCTGAAGTAGCTCTTGAAGGCTATATATTACCCACGTATACTTTGTGAATTGGGGCGTGTAAATAACTATAATTTATATAGTGAAAAAGATGTTTCAGAACAGAGTTGAAAAGAAGGTTTAAGAACATTGGATATGTGGACCAAAGATTCAAAGCACCCGATATATGGAAAAATGAATGTATCCTTTGAGCATGAATGTATGAAAATGTATAAAAGTGCTATAAAGCTGACATTTTGCTTTGTGGAGGATTTTTAAAAGGCATTCTACTGTTTTCTGCTTTCTAATAGGATATAACTTACAGTTATTCGTTGAGAGTTTTACATATGTATGCAAAGTGTATCAATCGTATTCACCTACCATCTCCTCCTCCAACTCCTCTAAACTTCCTGTCCTTTTTCTTTATATCTCATGGCATCCAGTCCATGCTGTGCAAATATGCGTGGGCGTGGAGACATTCACTGGAGCATAGTCAGTTACTAGGGTCATGCTTGGGAATAAGAACTGACAGCCTCTCTCCTAGCAGCTACCAACTATCAATAGCTCCTCAGGTAGGAGTGCTGACTATCCTGTCCTTTTCCCATCCTGCTGAGATGTTGACAGGCTTGATTGTTGGGCAGGTCTTATGCAGGGGAGCACAGCTGATGTGAGTTCAAGCATGCAGTGGTCCTTTCATGTCCAGAAGCTTTTTTGCTTCAGTCTTCCCTGACCTCTGGCCCTTACAGTTTTTCTGACCTGATTTCTGTGATTTTTCTGAACCTTTTTGGGTGGGAGTGTTCATTTTGTGTCTGAGAATTCTCTATACTTTGACCAGTTTGGAGTCTTTGCATTAACCCCTGCCCACTGCACACAAAGAATTTTCTCTGGTCTGGTCTTCGGGCTGCACTGATACATGGGCTTAGAGATCCCCTCCTTGGGAGGCAATTTGCTGCTGTAACATGACACAACTTTGATTGCAGTTTGAGTGAGCACCTCTGGAAACCATCGTGTCAATTCTTTTTATTTTCACATACACAGAAAGAGCTTAAAATTATAGTGAATTTTAAAATGCAAACAAACACGTAACACTTTATTGCACATAGGAAATACTTTGAACACAGTACTGTGTGTGACATCACAAACTTGGACGGAAACAAACAAATTACGCGACAAGACGGGAACTATTCCAGGGTCAAACCACATGGCGTACGTCCTGACAGAGACCTGTCGAGACACATATTGCACCTTTTTTTTCCAGCACTTTGAAATCTGCTTTACAAATATTCCTCATATGCCGTGCTTTTGTCTCTTCTTTGAAATACACAACAGAGAAGACCGTTAAAGACTAAAAAACAACTACCATTGGAAATGAGCTGTCTACACTGAGGAAGTTAAAGAAAAGGTAATCCTTATACTCTGGGGGAAGAGAGTTGAAAAACTAATGCGACAAAGGTCTGTAAATGGAGGGAGCTCCTACAAAGCTTGGTTTCATGAGCATTGGTCTACTTGTGAATACTTCTTGAGTTTAAGAAAATCATTAATCAGTCAAAATTTCCTGTATCAGTATTTAGCTTTTACAACCACCAAAACTTCAAATAGTGCAAATGTATGAAAGCGCTTCAGCAATAAATAGTTACTCTAAAGCTAGTCATTTTATTCATTCTAGATTTAAAATATAAAGTGCATCTACGAGGCTTCGTAGCTGTCCTCTCACTGTTTGATGTGATTATCAGTCAGCAGGTGACATTTTCAGGTCATGGTCAAAGGGATCATCCTGGAGTTCCTCTCCCTCGTGTCCCACAGTCCTGTCTGGAGGAGTTCAAAGACGGTGTGAAGTTGGTTTGTGAGGTCTCTGTGGGATATTTAACCACAGGGGAGCATCCAGTCACCGAGTTTCCTGTGGTGCCGAGGCACAGTCCTGCAGAGACTCCTGCTTCCTTGTCATCTGGAGGATTTGCTGCAGACCCAGTGTAAGTTAGCCGCACAGTCGACGGCAGCAACGTCTGTGTTGTTTAGGGACGCACACCCCTCAGACCCCGTCAGGTTGAACCTGTCAAACCATAAAGATGCTTAGACTCATTTCGAGTCCATCATTTCCAGACAGTTACATGAGAATAAACTTGTGGTGACCTCTGTCTTTTCTGTTTGTTTCCAGAGTAGAAAGGGCAACAAAACAAAACAACCAAAACCATGTCTTTAAGCCAAGTAGCCATGGTCTAATGTGTAGAGACAACAGGCAACACCAAAAACAGAATCGTTTGGGTAAAAGTAGATAGAGCCAAAGGCTCCATTTTTTTTTTTTCGTGACATCACAGCAGAGTAGTTTATTATCGTGTTTTTTACTTGATAGATCCTTCAAGGTGCACAATTGTAGGGGACTTATGATATGGTCATGAAATACTATGATTTTATTTAGACCATTGGTGATTTTCTTATATTCCTTGGTAGTGTAGCTGTAGATACACAACCATGGACCACAATGCTAAAAGCTTTTCCAGAAATGCAGTTTGTTTTTGAGAAAGGGCCTTGTTAGTAGACTAGGCTGGCTTCTAGCTCACAGAAATTTACCTGCCACTGTCTATGGGTGCTAGGACTAAAGGCATGTACCAGCATGCTTAATTTAGAATAGATTTTAATACTGACAGACATTGGATCAGTGATTATGGAAATGTTAAGAGAGTGAGGAATTTATTCAACTCTGAATTTTTTAGATGTTAAACATCAACACTAAATTTATAGAACATCCTCAAAACTTTAAGTCTAACTTAATAGTGGGTAATGACAGTGTCTTTATTGCTGGAGAGTATTTTCCTTAGGTATAACTAGGCAATGAAATATTGTCCTTTATTCAAGCAAAGATGAAAACTGGGAAAGGGAAATGAGACAGGCGATTCTTTCCTAACAATTGTTTTATTACCCGTCATCAGAAGTGTCCGTGGACTATCTACAAACTCACTAAGACTTGCTAAGTCAAAGGGCATTTGCTAAGACAACATTAAATTTTTATTAGAAGGAGTGAAATGAAAATGAAAGAAGAAAAGGGATTTTTTTTGATTCTTAAAAGTGTTAGTCCAGAGAGGACAGAGAGATTTCTCACAACTTACCAGCTGTTAAATTCTTTGCCATTTGCCCATTTCCATGTCTGATTAGCTTCATTTTTCAGCCCGATCCAATGTTCCAGTCCACCAGCATATCGCTTCAGAAATACCTTAAAGCACAATGAAGTTATGTCAAAACTTGACTGAGCATCATGGCTAAATTGATCATTGCTAGCTGTGTGTGGCGTCCGCTCATCTGAATTGCTGGTCTCTGAAAGTCGGCAACCAAACCACAAAATACTACACGGCAGGCTCTCATTTTGACCTTCTAGGCTGTCCCTACAGTCCCCTGTGACTAAATTTTCCTGCATGTGAGACAGCTGCCCAGTTTCCATTTAGAAAAGAACACAGTAAAACAGATATGAATAAAACAGCAGCATTTGATGGGATCAGTTGCGAATCTTACCATGTCCTTTTTGGAATCAATAACAGCAAGAGTAGCACCATCTTTAGAACAGGAGTTTTGGGCTGAGGGCCAACTCCTGGTTGTGCTGGAGAAAAAGTAGCATTTCCTCTGGTATGAAACCCAATCATCCTCGCAGGAAGCAACATGGTGCTCAGATGACTCCAAATTGTTATACAGGCTAGGGCAATTGTACTTGCCCACTGTGGAGAGAAAGATCATTTGATTTAGTAACAGAGGAAAACCAAGCCTTTTCCACAGGTAAACCTAGTTTAGGAGACACTGCTCTTTGTAAGGAGGAAGAAAGCAGAGCTCAGCTATCGCTTGTGCGGCAGGATGAGGCATGAGCAGAGGGCTGCATTGTCTTGGTTATTATGCCAGAACATGGCACAGGTGTGAGAAAAAAAAATCTCAAAAATTAATGAACATTTGGGTTAGAAGGAGAAACATATATTGTAAATTCTAAGTGAGGTTTTAAATATAAATTCCCCCCCCCAACAGGAACTTGAAGATACAGTCTTGGGTGCAGATTGTGAGATAAAAGAATGAAGGGCTCGTTCTAGGCATAGGATAAAGTATTGGGGAGGTCTGGGAGGAGGTGGAGAAAGGAAAAGTGTGATCAGAAGACACTGCGTGAATTTTTTTTAATTAAAAAATACAACGAGGAGAAAAGCTTGTGGTATTTCTTCAGTTTGTAATATTTCTTATTTGTCAAAGATATATATGTGTCTTGCCTTGCATAGTGGCATGGCATGGCCTCAGCTGGCGCTGGGAGGTGCTGGCTATCATAATAATCCAGAGTGTCTGGTTTGCTGATTTGAGATAAAACACAAAAATATTGGCTACTTTTTGATTAATCTATAGGATAAATACTTTTTTTTTCTGTCAACCATGAATGAAAAGTCCACATTTTTCTAGTTAAATGACTAGTCACAAATCCATAATATTTATATGTTATATTCTATACAAATACACATAATATATTACATATATATAATATACACGAATATATGAGCTCCCTCTTCTGTAGATGTAAATGTGATCACTCCTACATAATGTATAAACCAGACACTTCTAATATGTATAAAATTGTTGCAGCTGTCATTCGGGGAGCACGGATTGTATTTCATACTGATCATAAAACTGGCCACTTATGGTAGGAGATGTTTCTGAGTCGATCAGAAGGCCCGGTTTACTAGATCAAGCTAAGACCCATTCATTTCAGCTGTGTGTGGATGCTTACTGACGGCAGGCTTCGAGAGAATTTGTAAGTATAGACTCACCTTGCAAGGCAATGATAGTTATACTTAAGGAAGTGATGATGACCACGGCCAATACAGCCCAAGGGATAGGGACTTGGATGGATCCTTCGTGATGCTTCTGGAAACTCATACTGGTGCCATTGTCTGAAAAGGGAGAGAAGTGGTGATGAATTCAGGGTGTAAGATGGAGCATTTGATATTTCTTAAGGAATATAAAAGTAAAAATAGTTACCTGTTGCCCCATTAATGCATAATGTTAGCAGTCAATTTTACAAAATTCTGAGCACATTTGGAAAATGTCTTGTTGGCCCTGAATGTGGCAAGGCAGGCAAAATGCTAACATAATAAGTGCCATATATATTTGTAGTTATAATATTTAGTGTTTAGTAGGTATAATAGGTATATTTCATAGCTATGAGAAATTCAAGCATATAATTATTTTTTAAACGCCCACTTGTCATTTGAGACATATAAAAGGAGCATCTGGGTGCAGTTCCTTAGTCTCCTTAGCATCAGCTACTGTTTGTGAGAGATGCGGGCAACGTAATAAACTGAGGTGTTGAATTTATGCATAAATATCTAAAAGCAGGATAAATTAAAAAATTAGAAAAACTCGATTATGCTTCTCGGTAATGCTGGTGTAGATGTGGAACACTTGGAAGCTTTTACATATTAATACTAAGAGAGCAAACTTGAAAATAACCTGAAAATCGCTTTTACGATGCCACGGACACAGGGGGGCTGGAGAAATGCCACAGGCGTTAAGAGCATGTGCTGCTCCTGGAGAGGACCAGTGTCTGGTTCCCAGCACCCATGTCAGGCAGCACGTAACCACCTATAACTCCAGCTCTAACCGGTCCAGTCCCCTCTCCTGGCTTCTGAAGGCACCTGTACATACATGATCTACACTTAGACAGACCCAAATAAAAACAATGTTAAAAACTTATCACTGTATGATCCAGACAATCCTTTACACACACACACACACACACACACACACACACACACACACACACCTTAGAGAGATGTTCGTAAAATGCCTTGTACAGGAATATTCAGAGATTTTATCATTAAGATCAAGTTCTGAAAATAATCCAAATATCTGTCAGCATGAGAGCGAATAAATACATTTTAGTGTACCCAAATGAAGGTATATCCACATAAAAGAATTCTTAGCAATTAAAACGAAACCCTGATGCATAGGATATAATGAATCTAAGGGGGGAAAAAAAACACCAAAATCACCCAGTATTGTTAAATGAAAAAAATGTATTCATTAAAGATTGCATGATATGTATTTCCATATAAATGGCACTTTAGAGCAGCCAAAATAAGGTGTGGTGTCAGAGATGAGACAAATGTTTGCATTTATGCTTGTGGGAAGGGGACCTGCCAAATGTCCCAGAGCCATGAGATTATTCAAATGTTGGTGAGAACTATGGCTGCACAGTTGTACACACGGTACTCCTGTGGTGTGCTTACGATGATGTAAGAATGGACAGTGAAACATTTAATTTCCCAAGGTAGATTAAAATAACAAAAGAAGCACAAGAGTGCTATCAAACGCATATTGAGCAGATTCTTCTCCATTTAACTTTCTGTATAAAGGTTGAGCAAAGTCGCAGTTTCCTTTACCTAAGAAGAAATGTGTCTATGTCAGGATTTGGATAGGTAGAGATATGTCTGTTCTAGCATGTAAATAAATAGATGACCGCCCACACGAAGGAGCCACACTTTGGCTTCAGATTTTGGATTTAAATTTTTCAGGATGAACCCTCAAGATTCAAAACATTATGTCCCCCACAAGAATGCTCTCACAAGTCCCCAAATTCTCCAGTGTGTGTGTGAGTGTGCGTTTCATGTTTGTGGAAGCTTAATGTGAAATGGCTTTTTTGAGTGACACTATAACCGACCGTGATAATCAGTCTCCACAGTTGTAATCCCGACACTTAGGAGGCTGGTGTCTGAGCACTGTGGGTTTGAGGCTGGCTTTGGCTACAAGGTGACAACCTGTCTCAAAAGTTTTGTTTTCTTCTCATAAAAAAAAAAAAAACAAAAACATTTCATCGTAGATGACTTTTTATAACTAAAAGAGTATTTCTGAAGACTGTATCTTGGAATTTGTAAGTTTTTGTTTTTCTTAAAACGTCTCCTTACAGATACGAGTGTGGCTAGTATCATTTACTTCATTTTTTTTTAGGAGTTACCCCCCCCCCAACCCCTTTGGTGAAAATCTTTTTTCGGGTCTTTTAAGAAAAGCTTTTTATCAATCCTGTCCAGGTCTGTTTCCCCTTCCTTCTTTTGACATCCATACACAATCATCTTCAGAGATTGTCTTCTGGAGGTTGAGCGACAAGGTCAGAGACAGATCTAGTTTCATTTCTCAGCATATGATAGTCACGCAGCTTGAACTAACCCTGACTTTACAGCAAACACATCCACATCCCAAACAACCCTAGAGCTTAGTTAGTTGAACCCATCGATCCACCTGTTGGGTAGAGTGTCGAGACCAACTCACACGTGACACTTTATTTCCATCACCAAGGGTCACTGCTAACCACAGTTCAACCCATCACCTAGGCAACAAAACATCCTCCCCCCTAACAGCTCACTCCCAGGCCTGTGCATTAATGGAGAGGTTGAAAACAGACCCACCTATTTACCAACTTTCAATCACCTAAAGAAAAGCCTGCTGGTTCCATTGCTGTTGTGTTGCTAAGGTTACAGCCATGAGAGCACAGGCTAAACATACAAGGGGAGAAGGGGCTGATCTCAGGCCAGGTTTGGAATTTCTGCATTAGGTCCTTCCCTCATCCCATTATTTATAATAGTTTCATTGTTATCTTTTTTTCATTTTAAGTAGGACATACAGGTATGGGTTCCTTAGGTATCTAAAAATGAATGAACACTATTTATCTGTACTAGACTTCATGCTCTCAAATAAGGGGTGAGTTTTCTTTCTTTTTACAGCCAGCCAACCTAATGGAGAAACAGAAAATAATCCCTTCCTCACTGACTATCTTGGTTGTGTTGGTCATAGACCATCTATTTACTAAATGAATAGTTCCCAAGTGCTAAGTGATTGAGGGCTTCTCATCAATCAGATGGAAACAAAATAGGAAAATTCTGACAAAAGGGAGCATAATATAGTCAGAACAGGTAGATAGAAGAGAGGGAAATGTGTAGAGGAATCATATTGAGAACAATGAAGAAAGATGTATAGTTATAGAATTTGAAGTGACTCATTGGAGGAGAAATAGATTAAAAAAAAAAATGGAAGGAGGGCATCCCATAGGCCACAACAGAAGTTGACATTTTAAAGAAAGAGTTACATTCTAATAATTCACATATGACATTGCAAATGTTCAGTTGCCTGTAAAGTTGTTTTCTCTGAGAATGGAGACCTGTATGCTTCCGAGCACTGGAGAAGTCGTGAAGAGAACACTGAAGAGGCAAGACACACAGAAAGCAGGCAAATGTACACGGAAAGACCACCAAAGTAACTGTCAATGTGGAATGCAGTGTTCATTCTTTATAAAGAGGGCTGAAACTTCCCGAATTATGCACAGGTTGTTATGGGAAAATGGTGGAGAGTAACTAGGTTAAGGCAGATAATTTTCTATTTAAATCTAAAACTTGAGATGACATAAATTGTTTCAAAGAAAAAGTCCTTTAAAGATCTTCTGAAACTCACATAGCTCCTTCTCATACAAATATTTTGTTTTCTCGTAGCCAGAGAGGTACTTATCCATGCTCAGTTTCTTTTTACTGACTGAAACAGAACACAACCAAGCCCTCCAAAGACATCTCTCCATTCTCTGCTCTATTCCGTACATCAACGTAGAGATCATACCAGACTGTAAGAAATCACATGACTTACCCCTCTGTCCTCTCTCCAGACGTGAAGAGCTGTCCTCTGTTATGGAACACTCTTCAGAATTCATTCTTGTTTTTCGTTTGTTTGGTTTGTTTGCTTTTTTTTCCCTCTAAATTCTCCGGCGAGTCTCCAGTGGTCCACAGTGAGCGCTGGTCCACAGCTGGAGCTGTCGCGTTCAGTGCTTCAGTCGCTGAGGTGTATCAGCCTTTATACTCCACGAGGCTGGCTCCACCCCTTCCTCCCACCTCCTACTTGCTGAACTCGGTCAGTTCTCGTTAATTTATGCTCCAGTGGCCTAGACGCTTCACCGTGTGTTGTTGTGGTGAGCTGTGGGTTTTCCCTGCTGTCTGAAATGCGCTTTCTCACAACTGTAGCTTAAGGAGGAAGAGACAAATGGGATTTTCCCAGAATCAAAGACATTCTTCCACGATTTTTTAGACGACACAAGTAATTTAGGAAATAGCATAATCTAAGCAAGGAGTTCAGTTTGAGATTGCCGTATTTGATATAGGAAAACACTGGAAGAGGGGGTGAACTTTGTCATCCAATCCTATGCATGCATTTCGCCGTACATATAGCTGCCAGTATTTGTTCAATACCCATTACGTATCAGGAACTGTTGGTGGCCAGAAGATGCACTGTTGAGTAGCGATTGTAGAATCTCTGTCCTTGTGACTCTTGAGTGAAAGCAACTCGGATAAGCTTTCTTTAGTAAATCATGGATTTAAAAAGTGTGAAATTCACCTCTTTTCCCCCAGGGAGTAGTTCTTTCAAGTGTCATTTAGTCAAGAGTTGCTTTAGTGCAGGAAACAGAAAGCTTGTGGTCTGAAACTTCCTTGCTGTGTTCTAAAACTGTTTATCTTCGGTTATCTACTTCATCGTCCCTTGCTCATTTTCTTGCCATCCTCCGTCAGATTTCTTTGGGCTCCCTGCAGAACATCTCTTTCTATTTCCCCCATGTCCTTGTATGCTCTTTAGTTTAGGCATCTGTGGCCTCAGATATTTGGAATGTGATCCCCATACACATAACTTCCCACGAGTTCCGTCCCATCCAGGTAACTTATTAAAGCATGGAAAAAAAAATGCAAAGTGTCTGTTTGGTAACTCAAGGGTGAGGATCGGAAAGATAAAAGTGCCACTCTAGTTAATAACCTTGGTGCCCAAAGATCAAAGTCACTTCTACAGTAACGTCATCTAGCTTGCAGATTAAAGCTCCTTAGTGAAGACACTACACTTGGGTCGGCTGGAAAGTTCCACAGTTGTCTGAACTGAGGTGAGCCAGAAGGTGCATCCATCTGCCTGACACACAGACGGGGGCATATCGGCCCTATTGTCTCCTTTTGTTCCCAGTGTCTTTCCTGCACAGCAGCTGGGATGACATTAAGTATGTCTTCATCTTGGTGAGACATTCATATCACCAAAGGCTTCCTAATAAAGGTTCCCTAAATTCTAAAGGCCTTGCAGCCAGGAAGAACCTCTGGCCGTTTCCTCCACCCCTCTCCAACACACACCTTCTTGCTCTTCCACAACAGTGCCCAGAAGCTTGCCGCTGTAGGGCCTTTACGTCTTCAGGTTGTCTCTTAGTGGTTCTTTGTCCACGAGACTGTAATATTAGCTTTCCCCTAATAAATAATCAAGTTAATTCAGCACCAAGCGAAAGGCAGAAAGGTCTAGTGATGATGATGGAGCACGTTCATTAACACCAAGAGCAGAGCTCTTCTGACTCATGCCTGTTGAATGGGATGAGATTTTCATAAAGTTCAGTAAAAAAAAAAAAAAAAAAAAAAAAAAAAAAGACAGTGAGGATCATCAGAGCCAACCTCTTGTTATAAACTGGTCCTTAAATTCTTTAAAGGCAAACTGCAGCTTTGAGTATCAAATAAATAAATAAATAAATAAATAAATAAATAAATAAATAAATAAATAAA